GTTGATCCGTCGTGAAGCTTTTTGTTTTTTAATTTTAATGGCAAAACGCAGAAGAAGAAGAAGGGAGATCGGAGAAAAGGAACAAAACGTCGTCGTTTTCGAATCAGCCAATCGAGTATTGACCAATGTGCACGTGCCATTGAAATCCATCGGCGTGACCTCCGTGACGGTTAAAGAAACGACGGTTTTAACGGCTCTGACTTTGGGAATATATTTTTTTTTTTGGTTTGGGTTTATTATCGAACCTTCTGTATCAGTGAGAGGGTTTGATCTCAAGGTAAACGACAATCCAAAATTCGAGCTGGTTGATGTTTTCGCTAACCTCACCGATCCATCATCTATCACAGTTGTACACAAATGTTCAATGTTCTCTCTCTACCTCTGACATGAAGTAGAATTCAGATTTTGGGTATTTTTCGATTACTTTTGTGATCAATTTTTCCAGGTAAAGCCCCTTAGCTTTCAATCCTCAAATCTCACGACCTCTCGGTTTCTTATTTGTGAAACCTCAACGATTTAGATTGGAATTTTGGTCACCTTGTAGTTTTCAATATCTAAAGTTTGTATCTTTTCGTTTGATTTTGGTTCTGACTATGGCTGATTAGGTTTTTGAATGAATTAGTAGGATCTGGGTTGTCTAATTTCGATGATTTGTTAATGTCTGATGATAATTGTCTACTTGGGCATTGGAATTTCCGAAACTTGTTAACTGAAATTTCAATTTTTGTTCGTGTAAATGATCCTTCTCTCTCATTTGCAGTGAGAAAGCTTTTGACAGGAACATTCAAAGTCTAGGCACCGTTTTCGTAAACAAATATCTGCCAAGCACACCCGCTTTCTAGGGGGAGAAGGAGAAGGTGGGGTTTGGTTTGATATACAATGATGTATCAGGCCGTTCCCACGGCGACAACCACTCGTGGTGGAACTCCAACTGAGAGTGTTGATTACGTAGTGACTTTGGATCAAATTCCAAGATGGAGTGATGTTGAGCAGAGGTCGTCTCTAGAGGGTGAAACAGGAGATCCATCGCATTCTAATCATCGCTATGCAAACCCTTTGGCTTCGTCTTCTGAAGCAGGAAGCAGTGGTAATGGGATGGTATCTAAGTTTCCTGTTGATCACGAGATTAACTCCAAAATATACCTGTGGAGAGGGGAACCGTGGAACCTTGAGGTTGATGCTGTAGTGAATTCGACTAATGAGGTAAGCTGAGATCTTGAGATTAGCTTTGCTAGTGGGTAAGTAAATTGCTCATTATGTGTGTCTTTTGATATGGTTTTACGTATATTGGACTTGGAGGACAGAACTTAGATGAGGCGCATAGCAGTCCTGGTCTACATGTTGCTGCTGGACCTGGCCTTGCAGAACAATGTGCTACATTGGTACAAACTCTTTCCTTCACTGTTTTCTGGTAAAGAGTTTGATAGGTGTTAGTGAAAAAGGCATTGTATTGTATATTGTCTTTAAGATGGTTGCGTGAAAGACGATTTTTCGCTTATTTTTTTCTTTCTTGACAGGGTGGATGCCGGACAGGGATGGCGAAAGTAACAAATGCCTATGATCTACCAGCGAGGTAATTGGTGATTGAAAAGATGGTTTAAGATAAATTCACCATTTACGTAGAGGGCTAAAAAATAAAGAAATTGTGTTCCTTGAATCTAGTTTCTGCTCTATTCTTCAAATATCCTTGTCCTTATGATAGAGCTTCTCCATTGATGACCGTGTACAGTTTTTTCATGCTGTGTGAATACTACATCTTGTGATTTCTGAGGAATTTACAAAATTAAGGTGGAGAGGCATGTTGTCTCTGATATACCAAACATTCTGTGCGACTTCAAAAAATG